GTCTAAGAAAAGTCAAATTAGCAGGCTGGATGGGAGACCCCATCCACCACCTGTCAAAAAGAACCTCACCCACAGATGGCATAAGGAGTGATTCAGACCCAGTAGCCGGTGGAGTGAGTATCTGTGTGGCTGACAGGATGGGAAAAACACCCCAAGGTTGGGAGGTAAATGCAAGGCAGGCAAAGTTAATTGGACCAACGAAGTCGGTCCAAAAGAGGGTGTTGCGGTACCAAGTTAATCAAAAAGGAGGCATCAATCCTGCATGAACCGAGCTACATCAAAAACAACCATGCGGAGGCTGACTTGACGATGACATTAAACGTGGTACACAATGAATTGGCTACTCTGAGCCTGAGATGCTACCACGCATGGCATCTTGGTATCATGACGAAGTAGTAGGTTCAGACTAAGAAAGGGTTTGAAGGAATGAGTCAACTAAAAGGGCTTGGCAAAATGAACCATCAACACGACACCAGGCAATGCTCTCCGACTGAGGCTCACATACCACACAAAAGCAACTTTCAACACCAATTCGTCATAGTCCATCCGACAGTGTTAACATTTGTCACTATTTTGAGGAGTCAAGTGCGTAGTTGTCGGAGGAAGGAAGGAGGAGGGCGAGCAAACCTTTCGCCTTTCACGAAGAAATGGAGTTAAGGCTAGCGTCTGGTAATCCTTCTTCCATTTTCCTATCCTTTTAAGAATAAAAAATCCGGAATCCGATTCAAAAGTCCAGTTGAACCCTCGTACTCTAGCCCATATTTTAACTTTGCCTCCATCAATCCCCCACAGCCTTCCAACTCATCGCAAACTCCACGGAAATAACACCATCAGGAAGAGAGCCACACCTGTTTCCCTTCTTCAAACCTGTGTGGGCTGCCAAACCGACAAGTCAAATCAACAGAGTTGACTGTGTGGATAGATGAGTGGCAAGCCTTGCTCCACAAAAAAATTACCTAAATTCCAGAAAGCTCTCCACCGTCTCCACAATTCATCAAAACATCATTAAGTAGGGAGGGAGGAAGGAAATAGACTTAAAAGTGTCCAGTTCAGCCCTTCAACTCCATGATTCATTGCAGTTGTGGAAGAAATTTGAGAACAGGAATGTACAATAGCTCTTTTTGCGAGGTGTGTCAGAGGTTCTGTGCAACTGTGACATCCATTTTACGGGTGAGCGTTCAGTCACAGCCGCAAACACCTGACGATCATCACATGGAGCCCAATGGACTTCTCCCCTCCTCCTCCCCTTCCTCCTATTGCATTCTTAGTTTTGCAGATCCAAGGGGCTTGATGTTCGCCTCATTCGTGGTGATGTTGCTGATTCACCAGCCCTAGTCGTTGACAGAACACAAACGTTGCTGCTGTTTGATTTTGGCAAGCGACCAATTTCGCCTACAGTACACCTTCAGAGTTAGAGGAGCCTTGTAAAGGCAAAATTATGGGCATCTGTCCCCAAGTCACGAGTGTATAATCGTTTGGTACATAAATTTTCTTAATGAGCATGCGAAATCCAACCCCTATAGCCATCTTTCACAGACCAGAGGTTGCCTGAGGCCAAATTACTTACTTCCGTTAAAAAAAATGCATTGAGAGTAAATCCTGCAGCAAGCCCATAGCTTGTTGCAAAAAAAAATCTAACTTTTGCCTAGGAGGCATTCATTCAATTCATCAGTTAACCCAAATGCCATGAGGTAAGGCTGAAAGGTTTTAAAGTGCCACGTCAATATCGCGACAGGAAGGGTGGAGGATGCATGCAATGCGAATGGCGAGTTGAAGCTCAATTAACCCTGCTAACGACCACATAAAAGCCTGCATAATGACATTGTGTGGTGCAGAACTTTCGACTAATCCAGGATGACGCCCTAACTCCAATTGTTGGCAAGTCAATGCCTCTGGAGGTAAATTAGACACTGCCCAAACCTACACAGAGGCATTATGCGTAGATGACGACGGATGAGGAGATGATGGCGGCGGTGGAGGGACGGAAAGGGCACTGGAGGTGGCGATGAGTAACAGACTATTGGGTAGCTGGGCCGGGAGCATCACACCGTTGCGATGTAGCACCACCAAATGCATCGCCACGGAGAACTCACTCAAACTCAGCTGACCGTCTGCATCGACGTCCGAGAGTTCCCTAAACGGATATTAACGAAACAATAGCGATAAATTTGGCAAAGGATAATATTCATCTCGATCCAAGTGCTAACCTTCTCAGAACCCCAAAATTAAGTTAGCCAATCAAGGTTGCATTCGTAGCACAAAAAGTCACCATTGCAACCTCAACCTATGAGGACAACTCTATGAATAAAGTGTAAAGCGTGATGTGGAAGCCTCAAAACAACTAGAAGGCTAAACAGGATTGCCAGAAGAACCACCGATTCTTCACTTTATCATATTTGTGCCCAGTAATTGATAAATAAATTGAAGAGTATTATTCCAAACAAAGTGGGCACGGAAAGTGAGCGAAGAAAAGCGTTTGAATGCCAGACTCTTTAAAAACTTACATTAGAGGACACAGAGGGAATCACTATCCGGTGTGCCATAAAGTAGGAGATCTGTCTCCCATACCTCTATCTGAACTATGAAGTAAGTCAAAGGAGCCAAGCAAAAATGAAAAAACCACTGAAAAGATATTAGTAGACAAGAAATGAAGGTAATGATAATATGTTTCACAATTTATTCTTAAGAAGTGTTCAAGACGGATTTCCAGAGCCAGTGATAAACAAAATAGATGAAACGTAAGAAACGGAATAAGTCAGTACCAACAGTAAACCGTCTCCGTACAATAGCGATAAGACTGGGATTAGGACATGTGAATACCATTCACAAAGGAAGAGATAAAAGAGGAAGTCTCGAAACACCAGATAATAGAGACATTTCCAGACCACTTCCATAATCAGAACAAGAAAATATCCGTAACAATCCACTACCATATTTGAGAGAGAACGGTGACAGGCAATTTGGAAAGCTCGAAGAAGGACTTCGCGGCCTGACCACTGAGACGACCACTGGGATCGGGTTGAAGACGCAAAAATTGGGCAAGATAGTAAGCCTTTTGATCAGGAGTCATGGCCCATGGATCCGACTGTTCCATGGTCTACAAATACCATAAGCAAAATTTTAAAAACTAAAATTAGGTGTCAGTAAAATAAAAAGAAAGATGGTTGTAAAAATGAAACGTGCTTGAATACAAAAAACATGGAAGAGGGCTAAGAGGCTTTATCAAAAAGAATTTTAAAAATATCATAACGACTCAAATCAATGAATGCGATCACGAAGCAAGCGTTACTGTCTGCAAAGCACCTACGATAAACCAAAATGCCAGGAAAACTAAAATGGATAACGATGCTTGCCGACCGTAGAAGTAGCGAAACTAATGACCAGATAAAAAAGAGCATATAAACCTTTCAGTACATAAAAAGTGCAAAAAGCAGGGAATGTTAGAGAACGGTAATGCGAATAACGTGGGATTTGCAGCTCCAGTAGAAATTAAGAAGAGAGCTGTTATTACGAACAAGCGATAGCAATTTATATGCAGCAGAAAAATGTCACAGTAAAAGGGATCAACTGTAAGCTCAAATTAATCACACAGAGGCATTTATCTGGTAAGGCTATCAATCCATGTGGGACACAAGCGAAACTCAGGTCTTGAAATATTAATTCATGCATGAACGCCACAAAGTCGGACTGTCCAGCGAAGTTAAGGATTCTGACACATCGGTCACTTTTTCTGCAAGAAAATGAAGAAAAACTCACCATTCCCACAAAGGCATCGAAAACTTCAGCGGCACAACCAGCCCCTTGTGACGATCAGGGTCGAACAAACAAATTCTCAATACTTCAAAGATTGTCAATGCTTTCAGACTAAATCAAACAAAAATGCCAAAATATTAGCTGCAAACATTTGATTTGCAAAGCAATGTAATTGATTACTATTTCTAAATTTAGATGTATTAATTTTAAAAAAAGGAGTATAATACCTTAGCATAAATCGAACTTACATGTTTACGTCAGTACGGCAAGCCTTGATAAACTCGTTTACAAAAATGAGTTGTCATGCTGACATGCTTCTACAATAGTAGATCGCGTTTGAGTTGTTGATGGCATAGTAACTGTGAAGCCGCACTGCATGAGCCTTGCCATATGGTATAACGATTAAGATGTTTAAGAGTTTCTTTGTTTGTGCACGACCCCAGCAAAAAAGTGCGTTTTCAAATAATTTATCAGTCTTACTAAAGTGCGGGTGATTAAATGCAGCACAACGAAACATCTCCAAGATTTGTCTTGATCTAAAATTTCCTTAAATGTAGGATTTTAGTGTATCTTCCTGAAAAAAAAAATGATTAACATGTAAACTCCCGTACTACATCGTATAGAAATGCAGTTCAGCACCACTTTTTATCACACCTGCGAGTTTTGCAGCATTATCCTATTACACAAAATAGCGGCTTATCCTATTCGTAGTTGAATAGCATCTTCTCGTCATTTAAAAAAATATATACCAATCTGTTGGATTTTGACTTAGTTTTCCTTCTTGAGTCTTCGAAGCTACTGCTCTACATAATAATTCATACTTGCTTGACTTTGCTAAACTTCTCCAACGCGAAAGAACCTGTATTAACCTCTCTGAATATACTTCTTTGGAATCCGCTGCCTCGACTACCTTTTGCTTTATTTGAACATCGTCTTAGAATTTACCGAAAGCAATCAATATAGACTCGTTAATAATATTCATATTAACAACATTTCTTTGTTAGCCACCAAAGAAGGTGACAACTGCAAAGAAGAATGTTAAAAGGAGAGCTAAGAAGAAATCTCCAGCGGTAGACATAAAGCCTTTCACCGAGATGACCCGCGAGGAGCTAGAGGGTCATGTTGCAAGACTGCGACAAGAGTTGGAGCGCGAGCGAGAAGATCGCAACCGATACCAAGTGGAACGGGACAAAGTTTCCACATTTTGGGCTATCGCTAAGCGCCAACTTGAGATCCGTAATGCCGAGCTTCGTGTCGCCCAGGAAGCCACAGAGATTGTGACGGAGCAACGTGAACGGGAGCTCAATGCCATTCACTTGCGAGTGCGACAGCTGGAAGCCTCTCATGCTTCTCAGTTGGCTGAAGTAAAGGCGGAAATGGCTACTGCCGTGGGACTAGCCGCTCAGGAGGCCAAAGCCAATACTCGCCATCCGAGATTGATAGAAGTAGAATTGCGAAAGGAACAGGCCGATCACAACGAACTTGTACGACGGATGAAGTTGGATCAAGAAAAGCAAGTGAGGACATGACATAACTTTAGTAATTCTGTAGCTTCATGAACTTCGACAAGTATTTGAGCAACAATCGGAGGCGGAGAGGAAGGTTTACATGGAAAAGTTGAGACAACTGGAAGAGCGATTAGATTTACAAAGGCGAACGGAAATTCAGATTGTTGAAGACAGTAAAAATGAGCAAATTTCGGTGCTAATAAAGAACCACGAGAAGGACTTCATGGATATAAAAAATTACTATCGTTCAATTACAGCTAACAGTGTCAATCTCATTGACAATCTCAAGGTACGTTTGGCAAAACACAAGATAAACATCACTTATATTTGGCGCTCATTACTTTATTTTCTGTTTACTAAATTACGCCACAATGTTGGTAAAAAAACAATTCTACATGGGTTTGAGTGTGTGTGAAGTATCGGTGATCTTCAGACGGATCGAATGGCTCGACAAGAGCTAGCTGACAGTTGTGAGTTTGCGACTCAAATGGGCCACGATCGCTTACTACTGGCCGCGATAGTAACGCTCGGCGAGGAGGAACGACACTGAATACAAAAAAAGAATCCTATAACCCTATTGAAATTTAATTTTCCCCAAGACGCAGCATTCCTTACAAACTTTCACCAAAGGTTTGAAGTGGTTGTTCCAAAGTTGCGTTATAGTGGCACTATGTCTTAGCAAATGGTTACATGGCTTTAACATTCATCGCTGCTCTTTCTCTCCCCTCCTCTCGGTTCTACCTCCGAAAGGGTCAAATTGAGGAATTGCAGAAAAATGAGAATCGCATTGTTAAGGAAAACAGTGCATTGGTGACTCGTAATCGCACTCTCGAAAGCGGTCTCTCCCAATCTCAGCAAGCGTGCAATAATTTGAAACGAGCTCTGGAAAACCATGAACGAGATGTGAGGGCATTGAATGTAAGTTAGTAAAAAGTAGGAGATAGACGACATTGTTCTCCTCTCCATCATAAAATGCCTTCCACTTGTATTGCAGATCGCAAGATCGCAGCTCAAAAAGTTGAAAAAGACCGTGTCAGACATGAAATTGGATAACGAAGCATTGCTAGAGCGTCTGCAACTTGTGAGTGAAATTGCTTTTTTAAAGGGCTCCATTCCGTAAGACTGTTCACACTTGTGCCTCTCCGACACAACACAGAAAACCAACCATTTAAGTAATTCGAATTTCCTCTTACTCACTATAAGCACCTGTGTTTGTCTATAATCTGAATTTACGATTTTGGGTATTTGCCGAAGGAAATACTATTAGTAATGGAGTTTCGGTTATCAAACAAGAGTGACTTTATTCAGGTTTAATCGGTTGAAATGTACAAAATGCATTGAAATACAATTAATTTCTGCCAGCATTGTTTTATTTACCTAAGCCAAATCACTCTAGACAAACTTTCTCCACCTTCAAATCTATCTTATAGGTGGAAGGTGAGCGTGATGAACTGTACAATCGGTTTGCCAGTGCAGTGGAGGAGGTGAAACAGAGTTGTGGGTTGAAAAATGCTCTCTTGGAGCGACGAATGGCATGTCTGGGTGAGGAGTTGGAGAAAGCGAAGCTACTCCGACTTGCTAACGCAAGGGACATTGGAGATGCTGGAAAGGCAGCTGAAGAGCTTGAGGTAACTTCCTGAACACTCAAAATTGTCTCATTTTTAAGCAAAAATGACTCAATAGGCCCACCTCTCGTAGTTAGCGGGGTTCTAATGGCTGAACTATCCCCTTGAGACTCCACACACAATTACACATATCGACATAACAAATGGCTATTCCAAGGTGGTGGTTCTCCTGAGAACAGAGGTACTCACTTTTACGTGGGAAAACACCCTTTACTCGAGAGAATTTCGACCCTCTCCCTTAATCACGTCATAAAAGGGATAACAACAAACACAACGACCTATAGCAACCGACAAATTCTGACTGGGAGAAAGATGACAATGCATCAATAAGTAACACAGCCAGACGCTCTTAAATGCTAGGCATTATAATTCCACTGATTTTTTTACTCAAAAAGTCATGGCAACCACTCATTCAGGGAGAAATGGCCAATTTGGATCCATCTTTTTGATTAAAAGAGCTATTTTTCCTAGCACACCTAATTACATTTATCAGTTGACCACTTCAAAAGAACCAACTCAAAACTTGTCTGCTGATTAGGTCCTCAGAAAGTTCCGCCTACTGAATGCAGCCAGTCAAAACGAAATTTGCACACTTTCCTACAGCTCAATGAAAGGATCTTATTAGAATTTGAATACACGATGTTAAGGTATTCTGCGTGTAGTAGCACTCAGACTAAGGAAGAAGAGGAAATATGCATTCCAGTCTAAAAATGTCCACGTGGCAGCGGAACTAGGGAATGGAAAGCTAACACACTAAAAGATGCTTTGATTAGTTGTGTAGCATACAAAACATTGAGGTATTTTAAGCAATGAAGTTGCAAGGTTGGCAGTAGAATCGTGATTAGGTAGGATGAGCTCAATCCAACCCCTATGGCTCTAATCAGTTGCATATGACAAAGTAAGAGAAGTAAGTCTTAGTTTCAATATCCCCTTTGTCTCAAAAAAGAACTGAGCTGTGAAAATAGGTGAGCCTCATTAACATAAAAAATTGCAGTGTTGGATGCTAGTTCAGCCCTCAACGGTGTTTGAAAAATTGGCTTTGAGTGCCAAGAAAAAGCAACTTCCCCATACGGAGCATAATTTTTTTTTGTGAATTCGACAAAGACTCTGCTCTCCTATAGGGGACACTTGCTGCCAAAAATGATCAAATCAAAAGTCTCAACTACGAACTTGCTAGAGCGTGCAAGGTGAGTCCGCCTCTTATTGCCAGTCTAGCATTTTTGAGACGGGCATATAAACGAGTAGTCAGTGTAAGGCCTCCCCTCTTCGTCATGCTTTAAGCTACACGTATTTCAAGACGCCGATCAAGGCATTTCAAATCCGCTCCTCCCATTTTCATTCAAAGATAAAAGATACTAACTTATGGTCTTCAATGCTGCAGTGTTTGTAAGGCCATAAACTGGTCCCCGAATAATTCCAAAGCATCACAAAGCTTTGTGATTAGCACCAGCGCATGCTCATTCACTCTAGGCAGAAGATCAGTGTAAATCCGTCTGCTAGCCCACGATGTGGGCATAAGTCTTGGAGGATAAAAAGCCTTCCACATAAAAAATGATACGAGGACCAAATCGTGAGGTATATAGCTGCTTTGTTTTTTACACTTAGCATCATTTGGATTGTTTTAGGCCTACAAAGACCTGTTGGATGTATTTAGGCGTAAGCTGGAGGACTACGGTATCAAACAAGAGAATATGGGCTTCGAAGTGAATGAGAATGTGCTAATCAACGGTGGGAAGATGCAATTTGGCAAAGGACCGGCCGGATTGATTACGGTGCAGCCGAAATGAGAAATGAAATAAAGATAGACAGACAAGCTGGATCATGTTTTGCCATCTTTGCGATATTGATCAAAATACATCCTTTATCAAGCCCACCTTACCTCTTTACTAAAGACAAAATGATGAGCTAAAGCAGCGAAACCACTTGCCCCGTTCAGCTTCTGGGTTCAAGAAGAAGCATCAAGTCTCATAATTACTACAATGTCCTGAAAATGCTTTCTGGGAGGGGACAATGTATCACGAAACTTTTAGCTGCTAAAAAAACTTATAAAAGATTCCAGTCGGAGAAAAAAATGTTTTCGATCTACTGATTAGCGAGCTCTTCGATAAGATATGCCCTCATGACTCCCAACCCCGAAGAACACAGAAAATGGAGGGAAAATCAGTAATCTAACCCATCCGTAGATAAAGCAACACAAGACAAGCCCAACCTGTCAAAAAAAATAAAAGTCAACTCATAGCAGTTAGTGTCCACCTTAATTGACGCCTAAGCCACAAAATTACCGCAATTACATAAAATGCAAGAAACTTACGAGTCACGAGTCAAAAGACATCAAATTCAGCAGCGTCTGACAGAATATCTCTACTACTCGACTCGGTTGACGAAGCAAAGTGACAGTGGCTACATTTGTGTGAATTAACGGGACCCAACCAGCAGGACACCAACATCAGGGCTTTATTTAGTTCAACATGCCTTCTCACCCTTCTATATAAGCGAATGAACTAAAGAACTACGCACAAGCACAAACAATGAAATTGTGGGAAAAAATGAATATACAGAAGGGGACAGTGTTTGACAATGAAAAGGGGGACGCACCGCACTCGAGGGACTGCGTGCGCGCAGTTCGGAACCCGGAATTCGGGGCTACGTAACACCTCATCGCCCTGCATTTTGCATACGCTTCAACCGACGCTCCTGTTTTCTCTGCTTCTTCTCGCTAATTTGCGGGGATTGATTGGGATCAAATATCCAAGGAGCTAAGATATGCACCCAGAAGAGGTAGCACACGCGACCAGGAATCTGCAAGGCAAATGAAACCGCAATACATCACACCTCACTAAACAATCACATCAACTGACTACAACACCATAACAGAAGTTCTACCATCATAACAACACCAAAATCCTTCATTTTGCACACCAGAACAGCCTTTTAGATAAAAATACCCACATATAAATTACACGAGGTCGCATGCTTTAAGTGAGATATTGCATTATGGATGACGCTGACACCAAAAATTTTGTTGTTGGTGCTTAAAAACTTGAAGTTCAAATGAGACAAAGTCAGAAATAATAACTCACAAAAAGCAGTAGGAGCCAAAAACCGTTATGAAGGAGAGCTAAGCCTTGTACCAAGGAACAGGTCAGAATGAGATCTTTAGCGTGCCTAAAACAAATACAGCAATCGCACTAGATCAATACTTTCCTTTAGATCGTATTCAAATGCGACTAATCAGATAAACTCACTCAGCGAGACTACCAGGCCCAATATTCAGGTCGAAGCCAGCGTCAAACAATCGACTGTTTCCGCGTTCGTCATCTTCAAAGCGGGGTGTGGCAAGGTACGACATGAATTGATAGGCAAAAAGATTTGCGATGAGGCAAAAGGACGAGAGAACGATATAGCGCGCCGTAAAGCCATCCCAGAAAAAGAGATAAGTCACGAGAAAGTATACCATCTGCAAGGGAGACAAAAAATTATGTATTCATATGAGATCAACCAATGATCTAACGCATCTATAATAGTAGTTAGAAAAATCAAAATTACAACTGTCGACATAATATCAGGAAAAGTTTGAATTTTGCCAATGCGCCTCACCGTAACCCCAAGAATGATGTTCCTGTAGAACCGAAGTGTCTGTAAATTGTCGATGTGGATTGTTTTTTGACTCTTAGAACCCTCTTTACCCGTTTTCTTAGTCACCATCATTTTTTTGTCAGCTACACCAGTGTACGCGTTGACGTGGCACTCCGCGCACGAGACCTATCACAGCCGTCGAGACTTTATTGAACGGAGTGCCCGCTTTTACCGACATTTAGCTCAACAAACATACGCAGTTATGCAGAAAGAGTTTTCTGCAAATAAAATTAAGCAAAGTTGCAAGCTTTAGCCTAAAAACTTTGTAAGCATATAAAATTTTCTGCTGTTTAGTTGCATAGCTGAAACGTGAGCATTACTGACTACTTAGCAAATACTTTCACTTACATTTGAAACCTTTTTAATAATAATACTGTTTGCATTTGACTATTCTGACAGCATGTAACACCAAGTTTGTGAAACCAACAGATGTTTAGTGGCAGCTTTAACTCTGTCATTCCCGCCTTCTAGCCGTCTGGATTTCGAGCCATGCCAAGACTCCATTCATTCTCCCCCAAATTGCATGTAGTTTAAGCCTAACCTAACACCCTCTTTCATCTAATGGGAAACATACGAATAGCAGTACTACCCTCCTAGGGTCTGCTCCGGAGGCATTAATCCTGTCTTCGTGTCCTCGCCCATCCCTTCCGGTACCTACCACGCATTTTGGCCGTTCGGGTGCCAACCAACCCCCCAAGTTACAGCGCTTAATTAAATGACCTATTACCTGAAGTCACACCTCCATCCACTTCTTGACTCTCAAGACACCTTGGAGCACAAACCTACTCAAAATGAACGATATACCACAAGCCTTAATCCTTCACCATGCTACCCATGGCAATGACAACGCAGAGGTTGCGCAAACACAAACTCACAGGACAATAAACCTATCTCTTTTATAGTTGTTCGGAAGCACGCTACACACCAATGTCCATATGGGGGCAGATTCCATACCACTTCCCTCCTCTTACGTTTATTCGGCTGGAGACGTCAGCATCACTTGCAAGTGCAAACTTGCACCGAGGAAACAATGTTGCCCGGACAGGGAATAGCGTTCGCCGCGCCCGCTGTCGGTCCGCCCGGCCACTGGGTACGCAGGGCAAGGCAGCGCTCTCGGTCAATGAAGAGACTGTTGTTCTTACATGCTATTTCTCCCTCCTTTGCCGTTCTCAAGTGCAAAAGCTCCTGCAACACACCCTCGGCTCGTCGCAACTGATTTGTCAGTTCTTCAATAGCAGCCTTTAACTGCTTCACCTCACAAATTAGGCTGGAATGAGGAGGAACGCAAAAAAGGTAGACAACGAGCCTGTTTTCGTATAATTCTACATGCTCAGATGGATACACACCAAGCAGTGGGAACCTTAAGAAGAAACATTTAGATTGTATCCGTGTTCACATTGTTAGCCGCTGTTTCTTCCATCGGACCAAAGCTGCTATACCGTCTGTAAACTACTATAATGGTGCTTACTGAAAATGTTCACAAGAAGTATCACTAAATCTTACCTATTTTCTTGGCATTTCACCTCATGACTGCCCGCTTAAAGCTGTATGCAGATGAACTGCTATTGACTCACTGGACCATTGCCGGATCACGACAATTTTCCATTCCAGGTCTCAGTAGACGCGTATTCAGACGAGAAGTTGCTGTTTTAAGGTATTCCTCTTTGTCTTTAATGGCTTTTTTAAGATCTTCTATCTCCTTTTCAGTGTCAAAGATAGCTTGCAACGTCTAAAATTACAGCCAGAGCATGAAGTAGGACCAAATCAGTAGTAAAAGCAATGACTCGAAATCAAACTCTCAAGTAAAAATTGCTTAAAAATGACTTCACCTTTGCTTCAAGTAAAAAGCGCCAAGTAGTGCCAAGTTTACCTTCCCAAGTGAAGCCTGTAGCTGATTACGGGCATCAGTCAGTTCCCGGATGCGTTGCGCAAATGCGGCATTAACAGCCTCCCACATGTCCGACAGGGTTTTGCTGGCATGTGCGATCCCCTTCGCAATGCGCTCGCGAAGCATACGACTTGCTGCACGTTCTGACTGGCTGCGCTGTATTAGGTCCGAAACCTGCTTGTTCCATGTCTCCGGCACCGATTGGCTGGAATAGGACAGTAGGAACCATATTAGGAAAGCAAAGCATCAACTATTTAACTGTTTCATCAAGTCCAGAAAAGACACAAGATTCACTTTAAACTTCATAATTTCACAGAAATCACCAATCCATGAAATGTACCATACCTTATTGGCTCTCGCTCATTCACTTCTTGTTACGCTTAAAAGTAGAGAAAGTGGCAAACGATTACCGGTAAATTCAGCTCAGGCGTATTCAAGTTTAAGACTATCGACAGACGAAGAGAGCATTTGATGACAAAATCTTAATATTCCCATCTTGGTGTGGTTAAGTATGAAAATCAAGAACTTTGATAACAGATGGAGGAGAACTTACGTTTGATCGATGCACTCCACACCCTCGTAGTAGCTAATATGAGCCGAGCTGTTGTGCATTGAATGAGCACTCTCGTCCAATTGAAGAGCTCTAAATTTCCTGGCTTTGTCCGCCTCTAAGTCATGCAACGCAGCCCTGTTCAGCCTGTTCAACAAGAAAAGAGCTTCACCGCTCTATATTACCTAATGAGTTGAAAAGTTGCACTCATTCGATTAGAGGCATCAACAGCCAATAAGTACTTTTTTCGGAGAGCTACATACGACCACAAGCTCATCATGATAAACAAGGTTTAGATAAATTTCTTAAGTAGGAGCACTAAAATTATAACAATATTAAAATAATTTTCCCCAACGTACTGTTCCTGAGTCTTTGCATCGTCGATAAGTTTCCGTAGTTCATCTTGGATGCATCTAACTGTATTGACTTCCTGTAAGTGAGTATATTATTACATTATGCAATCACAATCACCTATGGCTGCCTAAAACGATATATATAATTACTAAAACCTATGAATAAGGTTGATGGATAAAAAATTTTCACGCAAACAAATTTCGTTCTTGCTTAAAGGCAAATAATGCAGCTCAAGCGCCTCAGTCACGGACTAACCACGCACCTAACACGGTCTTGCGTAGTTATATTTTCAAATCGTGCACCTAACATTATTTTATGCAATGTATTTGCAAATTTTAATAATGGAAATTATCTTGTTGTTATTATTATTAGATCCGC